TTTGTGGCGGTGGATAAGCTAATTCTTGGTGTATAATATAATACAAGTTAGTTAAAACCATCCTTTCTATCATTTCTCTTGAAAATAAAAAAAAATGGCGGGACACTCTTTAATTTAAGAGAAATTTACATAAATTTAAGATCAGAGTTCTAAATTTCTGGTGATATATCAGATATTTTTATCGATATTTTCATATGTCTATCGATTTGATATCGACGCAAGGATGAATCGATATTTCTATTGTATCATCAAAAAATCGACAAGATGTAAGAAAATATCAATAAAATATCATTAATATAGTCGTAACACTAATAATAAGCAACTTTAAATTATTTAAAAATAGTGAAATGTTTATTTATTGTTTTAAATATATTTTATTCATTTCTTAATTTTTATGATTATATCTGATATGTTATCAATCTTTCCATCAAAATTTCACTAAAAGTGATACCTCAACATTTTACATCAATATTTAAAATCTTGTTTAATATTTATTTTCAAAGGTCACTTTTTTTTTCAAATATAGCAATGTCTGCGTTTTAGTGTTTAATTTTACAATCCATTGGAGTTTAAGTTTAATTTGGATATGTTAGTTTTGTACAATGCTATATTTTTAAAATGCATATTTTTTTATGTTATTTATATAAATGCCTCCTAATTTTAATTTTATAATTTGCATAAATGTATGGTCAAAAAGAAAATCCTCTTACAAATATATTCGTAAGATAATTCATTTGGATCAATTGGAAAAAAAAAAACAAGATTGAAGATACGTACTTCATTTAGTGTGAGTCAAACTTTAAAGCTTTTCTATTTTTATTTTTATTAAATTAAACATTAACTTCATTTGTGGCTGCGAACATAAGTATAGCTCAGTGGTAATTAACATGTATTCTTTTATTCGAGTTTGGAGGTTCGAACTTCCATATTTCCAAATCTACTATAAATAAATAACCTTCTTTTATGGCTTTTTTTTGCAAGTACTTGTTCTCGTAGGTTAATTTTTTTTTTTTCTAAATTTGTGTTTGGATATTTTGGTGGAGTTGGAAATCCATTTTTACATGTATGATATTTTCGAGTATTTTTGTAGTTGGCTTTGATATTTATATGGCTTAATTAGGGCATTAAATATCCGTCGATATAGACATTTTCATCGACATTTTTGTATCCCTAAGTTCGACATCAACACGAGGATATAAATCGACATTTCTATAGTATTACCAAAACATCGACAAAATATGAAAAATATCAACAAAATATCGTTAATATGAACATAATATTAATATTAATTATTTTTACTTATTTAAAAATGTTAAAATGCTTATTTGGTAATTTAAATATTTTTATGTATTTATTTATTTTTATAATCTTTCCATAAATATCTGTTGACATTGATATTTTATTGACATTTTCATCGACATTTTCATAAAATCGAGACCTCGACATTTCCATCGACATCGACATTTAAAAATTTAGGCTTAATTTAAAGGGTCTTATTGGTCGAAGTTTTTTTACTCATCGATAGGTCAGTAATCAATTTGTTAATATGGTTTAGAGTGATGGAAATTTGAATATACATGTCATATATTAAAATACAGTTTCTGTATTTATTATCGAATATTTTTTTAGTACAACATGTGAGGATGTCAATTACCGCTGAGCTTTGCTCGCTTTGGCTATTATCGAATATTATTAAATTAGCTTTAGTGTGAACTAAGCATAATTCAACTATACAAGACACATATATCCCCGAATAAGGGGTTGAGCAAGATTTGAATCCCTACACCCACATGTTGTTGAACTAAAAAAAAGAATCATCTTCAACATTTATTATATCAATATGTCTCTTTCACTGCACCAAAATTGTCTTTCAATGTCAGTTCTAACCTGTTAGTGTATACATACTAGACGGTTGAGCAAATGTCAATTGTTTGGTTGTGATCGTGTTTTATTATAGCGACTACTGAATGATGACAATTGTAAACCGCCATCTGAACAACTGTCATTCTCGTAATCTACTAGCTAAAGGACCAAAAATTTAATTTAACCAATTTAATTTATTAGCATCCTTTGTATATATCCATTAACTATCTTTTATACTCATGCAGATCTAAAAATTTATTTTAATTAAGATTGTTATTGTTTAATTTTTTAAAACATATTTAACAGAAATACGATGTAGTACAATGATTTATTGATAAAAATAATTTCGAACTGATCCATTGCTCGAGAAGAAATTTGAGATAATGAACAATATTGTCGATGTTTGATAGATTGTCGTATATTGTAATCTCTAGTAATAAATTACTTCTCTACTCATCTTTGTGGTTAAGAAGCTTATATATAGTACAAATTATTCATACAAATGTGAGGTATATTCTTACATATAAACAAATATATAATAATAATAATAATAACAACAACAATAATAAAGATTATATTTGATGTTAAATTGCCAAATTCTTTGATATGGATTAGGCAACCACTAAGCTTCATTTGAAAGTTTGTGATTTCGAGAGAGTGGCTTTTAAGCAATACTTGATTTTCCCCAATTAGGTAAAGATTGGATGCACCCAAAAAAAAATAATATATTTTGTTTTTCAAAATTAACTTTTTTTCTTAATAATATTATTTTGAAATTTATAGTAGGTTTGTCGTCTTTAAATTCAAGACAATGACACTAAATAAATAGTTTAAATGTTATTTTAATCCCTCAACTAATCTATACTTAATCCGTTATAAACTTTGAAATATTTTATTTTAGTCCCTTAAAATTTTCAAGAAAAAATTATTTTAATCTTTGTGTTAATTTTTCTGACTATTTAACTTAAATTTTAATCTTTGTAGAAATTTTTCAGGTTGTCTATTCGGTCTTATACTTTGTAAAATATTTTTAGTGATTCCTAAACTTTAAAAAATTATGTTTGTATTTCTTACTCTTGTTTTCTTAACTTTTAAACTTTAATGTTTTGGTAGGATGCTAATGGTACTTTTTAAAGGAATATACGTATGAGTTTACTTTAGTATATTCTACTGTATGATACTTAATCGACCGTACTAGATACAAAATTTAAAAGTTTAGTAACCTATACAAAATACTTTAAAGGTACAATTATCGAAAAAAAAAAGTTGTAACTAGTAGTTATGGCTTCAATATGTAGATATAATAAAAAAAAAATGTTATTTGTCATTTATATTTTCTAATGATTTGATTTCTTTGTTTTCTTTTTTATCTCATTTTTTCAATCAAAAACTAAAATAGGATTTTTTTATATCACAATTTCAGCCCACAACTACACTCAATAAGTTTACAAAAATATTGTCATAGCTTTCAAGTTAAGACTTCAAAACTTATTAAGAACTTTTTAAAATAAAATAACTAGATATAGATACATAACCCTAAAAGTTTCAGTGAGTTCTAATTTAACCCAAAAAAATTATAATAGCAAAACTTGCACATAATTGGTGCATACAACCTCATTCCACAAAAGCCATTACAAGCAAAATTTTGCAACAAAAGAGAAAAAAGAGAGAACTAATTAATCAAAACAACTTGAAAGCTATTATATTATGTATGTGTATTCATTATTTTAATTCATTGTTCTTCCTCAGCTATCACCATTTTGCTAAGAGGGCTTGGTCCAAGCTTCTTCCTTCTTCTCATCAAACTCCTCTTCCTTATAACTTCCATTTGGTTCCTCCTCCTCACATGCATCATCGCCTCTTCTTCGAGGACGAATCTCCGCATCAAAACGTCGTCGGTGAGCGACTTTCCCCGAAAGAACCTTCGGCTACTAATTCCCCCACCGCTAGCTCGCGCGCTCGAAAAATTCGAAACTCTTTCTTGTGCGATGTTGTTATGGGTCGGAAAGGGCTTGGAGGATCTTGGATAGCTATGGCTTCGCCTGGGCGGGTTAATCTCAGCTTGGAAAATTTCATTGTAAGAAGAAATTGGTGCACAAAGACAAACTCTTGTGAATGAAGTTGCAATCTTGAGAGAAGTGCATTTTCTCATCTTGTTGTGTTGTTTGTGGGAATTGTTATTCCCAATTGATCTTGGGAATTCATTTCCCTTGGAATTGAATGCCCCATTTGAAGAATTTGCAGTTGGAATTGTGAATTCTTTGGATTTTGGAGTTGTTTTCCATTGAGTTCTTCCCACTATTTCCATTGCTCTTTGATACCATGGCTTCCTGTGGAACATCAATTTCATATCACGCATAATAGATTTCACTAATCCCAACTTTTTTTTCTTTTTTTTTCCTTTTTCTATTTCCAAATGGGGAAGAAACCATTCTTTTGAAACCCATAAAAAGGTGTAAAATTTTCAAAACAAAATTGAAATTGGGAGGAAAATTGGTTTGGAATTGAAGGAGCTAGGGTTGGCCAATTTTTACCTAATTCCAAGAATGGAATATTCTATTATTTTACTTGCTGTGGAAAAAAAGTTGCCAAATTTTGAAAACAAAATGGCAAATAAAAAGAGTAAAACAGAAGACTTGGTCAAATGTTGGACCAAGTCCAAATTACTAAAATTGAAAAATAAATAAATAAATAAAGACTTCCAGAGTCAAAGATTTGAGAAATTAATGATGCAAAAGTGCTTTTTTCTTGTAAATAAATAACAAATAATTTCGTCCCAAAATCCAACAAAACTTGTTTGGGGTTTGGAAAATTGGCTAAACATGGGTTTACAATGGGCCGGGCATTTAAAAGCCCAAGCCCAAAAAAGTTTGGCCCAATTTTGCTTTCATCTTCTACTCCCAATCCAAATCCATATCTCTATAATATGTTTAAATAATTTTTAACATAGTTTGAGAATTTTATGAATTATTCTATTATGTTTAATTTTACAACTTATTGAATTTGACAGAAATAAGATGTACCAATTTCATTAATAACAAAAAAAAAAAAAAATTAATAGCCCTGAAAACAAAAAGGGTACAACTCCCTAATTTCAAAATATCAGGAGAATAGGTGTCTATTTTGGTCACTTTTGATTATTAAGATTTAGGAAAATATTCTAAATGATCCAAGATCTTACTTTTTTACCATAATTGACTAGTTTTATGATGACGTGGCGGTTAAGTTTCTGGTTGTACTTTAGTGGTAACTAACGTTAAGATAATACGGTGGTTAAGTACATTCAACAACTTAACCGTCATGTCATCTTAACGTTAATCAATAACGGTCAACATAATTTAGAGACCATTTAGTACATTTTTCTAAATTTCAGGGAACGAAAGTGTTACTTATGAAATTTCAAGACGGGCTAGATGATATGATCTAACAATTTTAGAAACCATAAATCAAAACTTTTTGAGGTGAAATTTCTATCCACACACCGCATTGCTTGGATTAAAAAATATCCCACTTTCTTAAAATTATTATAAAAACAGCTCCATCCATTTGAAGATTTTGGTGTTTAATTGTGTGTCTGTGAAAAAGATTGAAACTTTCTAAAGCAAAAACACAAGAAATTGGGAAAAATTGACCAATAATTTCACATGAGAGAGCCATAAGAAAGATACATAAAACTCACACACACAACCCAATACTGTCTCCACTAATCTCACACATAATAATTTAAAAGACAGAGACAGAGCCATAGTTTTTTTTAGTACAACATATAGGAGTTGAGGGTTGAACTCACGACCTCTTGGTTGGAGATATATGTCAATTACCACTGAATTAGGCTCGTTTTGACGAGCGAGAACCATAGTTGAGGTAAAACCCACAAACAAATTTGGATTTCCTTTCACCAATTTTACACAATAATTTGTTGAGAGAGAGAGAGGGAAAGTGCACCTTGAATTGGAGGCCTTTGGATCTTGCATGAACAAAGCCAAGATGAAGTTAGAAAATTGAGGTTGAAAATTAGATGAATGATGAGAGAGAGCAACAAGTTTCATTTGGGGATGCTGAAGAGACACTGTAGACAGAGCTAAGAACCACAGCTAAAACAAAACCTTTTTCTTTTTTTTTTTCCTTCAATTTTGTGAAGAATGTGGGATGGTGTTAATTACCAATATGCCTTCTCTCTCAAGAAAAGAGAATTTAAAAAGAGAAAAAAAAATGGTAAAAGGAAAAGTAAACACTGCTGCTTTTGATGTGATTTCTCTCTCTCTTTCTCCCAACAGCCTCTTATCATTTTGGAAAATTTTAAATCATGATGGCCTTCTTTAGTTTGACAACTTTTTCCGGGATTTGAGAGAGATTCAGCCTACGCTTTAAGTGGAAATCTCGAAGTTTCAATTTCATAGAAATGGTCTGGAAATATATTTCAACATTTCTAGTTAACAATGATGACCAACATGAGTTCAGCTCAACGATGATACTTGACAAAGAGATCATGAGTTCAAATCTTCCGCCCCCATTTGTTATATTAAAAAAAAATAGTTTATATTAATATTATGTCTATATCAGTTATTTTTTTATTTTATCTTTTTTTCTTCGTAATACTATGGAGAGTAGATCTTTCATGTTAATGTCAAACCCTAAAAATACATGGAAATGTCGATGTAAATGTCGATATGTCAACAAATATTTAATACTACGAGCTAGACCATGCATGCTAATCATTTAACTCTATTTTATTATTATTAATACCGTTAAATAATATTTTGGCCTATGTACTTTCAAAATATCCAATTTAGTTCATATACTTTCAACTTTTATTTATTTTAGTCTTGATACTTTCAAACTTCTATTTGGCCCTATTCAACTTTTGTTCATTTTAGACCAAAATTATATTTTTTAAAAAAATACAGGAACCAAAATAGTCATTTCGAGAGTACAGTGACTAAAACAAACAAAAATTGTAAACATATGAACTAAAATGAACATTTTGATGTAATACAAAAACAAACCGAAGTCGAAAGTCATAGGCCAAAATAGTATTTAAGCCTATTATTATCATTAATTTGGTTAGATATTTAGGATTATATTACAAGTGTGGCCTTACACCTTCGGGTTGTGTCTAATAAGTGGTTAATCTTTAAAAAGTTTAGGACTTAGGTGTCTCAACTTTCAATATTTTATTCCTATTTAATTCTTATATTTTAAAAAATTCTTAATAGGTCCCTAAATTTTTAATTTTTGTGTCTAATACGTGGTTTTTTAATTAATTAAGTACTTCATCACTTTAACATTTTGAGTAAGTTTTTTTTTAGTACAACAAAATATCAATGTGTGAATTCGAATTCACGACCTTTTAGTCGGGGATATATACATTAACTAATTGAACTATGCTCAAATTGACAATGTTTACGTAAGCTTGCGAACTATATATTTAAAGATTATGTAGTGAATTGATATGATTTTAGACAGATTTGAACATTTGGTAGCTAATGGGAGCATTAAACTAACAAAGTTAATAATAGAAATCTATCCTTAGACACAAAATTAAAAATTTAAGGATGTATTAAAAACTTTTCAAATACAAAGAATTTATTAGACACAATCTAAAAATTCATAGACTATACTTGTAATTCATTTAGCTAATATTTAATTTCATCCCTAATATTTAAAAAAAAATTCTTTTGTCAATAACACCGCTTAAATTAATTGGACGAAGAAACGATTATCTGAAGTCGTGTGCTAATAATACCTTAACTTAAGGTCCTTAAGTATGAAGTTAAGTCATTTTGTCTTATAATTGGATGAGACGTGGAGTATATATTCTACTATAATATTTTATTAGGTAGGTTTCTCGATCTATTAGTGTAAAAGCTCGTTAGATTTGTGAATCTAATATGGGTGATGTAGATATTTAACATTCAATTATATCGTTGTTTAATATTTCAAAGATGTTTGAATTAAGAAGCTCGATTAAAAATTTTTAAAACACAGTGTACCAAATTAAAACTTTCAAAATGTTGAAATTCGAATTGAGAAAATTAATGTTGTGAACTTTAAAGACCAAATAAATGTTTTAACCTATTTATTAATAATGAACTTGAGAGCTAATGGTTATTGGATATTTTATTTTTTTATTATTATTATTATTTTTTTCTTGCAAAGGGATTTCTTTAACACATTTTGACCCGTCTTTTTGAGTGAAGAAAGGGCCATTTAACATATTTTGTTAATTATTTTTTTAATATTTTTAAACTCTTCTTTTGATGCTCTTTTTTCCCTTTGTGGGATATTTTCTTGAACTTTGATTTCTGTTGTGTGAATTATGACTGAGAAAAGCTGTGGATTTTGAATCACAAAACAGCACAAAAGTCTTCTAAAATTTTCCATTTCAGATCAAAAGAAGATCATAACGATTAGCAACTAGAGATCAAAAACCCAAACAAATAGCATTAAACACAATAACCATAAAATATGATTAACAAACACTAGAGAATTTGTGCATGAATTTATGAAGTCTTTTTTCTTAATAAATAGAGAGTGTGACTCAAGCTAGGATACTTGAAGAGGGGTATAGAGAGATGTCTTGACTGCAACAGATCTACCTTTAAAATACTTGTGGTATGAACTGTGAGTTTCGTAATTATGCCTAATTACATAACCTACTGTGTTTGAGGTAAATAACCATCTGTCACGTGTCAACTTCAGGAACCATCTGGATCAGAATGACCAAATGAACATTTCGAACCGGTTCAAGTACAGGGAGCTCCACAGCGGAGGCCAAGCTGAGCAACATATCACCGTCCAACCGATCTTCATTAGGCACAAGTCGACCTTGAAGAGCATCTGTAGGCGCAAGCAACGAGAATGTTCTCCGACAAAGCGTCGCATTTCTCGAGCTATCGGAGAGCTGTTAGAGCGTTGTCGAGAGATCTGCCTCTCACGCAAGGTACGCGAAACTATGTCCTCTCTCAATTATAGATTAGAATGTATACTGAAAGAGGATCTGAGTGCTAACTCTATTTAACAAGTCCTTCGTATGTTGGATGTGCCGAGTCCAAACTTCACGAATCCAAACTTGATCATTTTCATGATCAAACATGTTGTATGAATAAACTCATAGTAAGGAGCTAAACAATAATGCTGAGATATATAACGCTAGTTTAAAAAAATTAATTCATATGAACGAAATATTTTTCAATTTATATCTAAATCAAAATCTAGGTAAAAATAATGTTATACTAAGTTTTTTTATTTAAAAAAAAGTGTTATAAATTCAACCATTACTTGCATCTACAAGTATTTTTGAAAAGGGAGCCAAGAGCTTCACTTTTTTGAATTGGGTTTTCAAGAATATTATCTCAAGTTAACAAGAAAAAGTGGGTTTCTTTTGGTGGTGAAAAATAGGGAGGGAAAATTAAAATATTCTCCTCAAAAGGAGGAATAATGAGGAAAGGGATGGGCATATGTTGTTCATAATTTAGCAATGGTTGGCATCATCATCATCATTCAACTTTGTGAAATGATGCTCTAAAATTCACAACCCCTTGAAAGCTGCTACAAAGCAAAACAAAAGAGGACATGATGAGATTGAATGCCCATCAATTTTAACATGTCGAACTTATATTTAACGTGAGATTTACTTATCTCAAAGTATATAAACTTTAAAAATCGTAGGCCAAACACCGTGAAAGTTGTTAAAGTTGGGGTTAGAACCATGAAATTATGTCGCATGTGTTTGATATTGATAAAGGGATCTATTAGAGAAATTCGGGTCAGGTTTATGGGACAGCCTATGTTAGGATAGGCTTAGCTGGTGAATTTTACCAACTAGATTTTTATGTTATCCGAAGAATTTTTAAGCTCATAGCCTAGCTTAGATAAGTAAACTCGTATGTATCAAATGTTATAAGTGGGGCATTTTAATCCTATATTATACAAACTTTAACTCGTCGATCTAGCATCCCCTGTAGTTTCTAACGTTAAATTAGGAGGGTTTATTTGATCTCTAACGTATTTTCAAGATAGTTTTTTGTTTATTTATTTTTAAATTGCTTTCGAAGAATTAAAATTCTATCATATATTATTATTGATAAAAGTTAATGTTATTGTGAAATCGTTATTTATTAAATATTGAATTTTTTTGTCAACATAAACATAGCTCGGTAGTAATTGACATGTACTCCTTTTCTTCCCTTGTATTATACAAAAAAAAAATACATTTTTTCTAAAAGACAGCAAATGTAAAGAGTGGAAGATAGAAACATTCAACTTTAGCGAGATAATAAAGCGGATCTTATACACTCCATTTGTTGCATAAATTTGTGATTTTAAAATAAAGAATTAGTTAACTCATATTATAAAAAGAAAAAAAAAACTTAACCATAAAAAAGTATTAAACAGGGAAAAAAAAAAGGCCACCATTTATGTAAACATAAATTATTGAACTTTTAATTGTTATATGTATATTATAATATAAAGAGTTTCTACACAAATCATGAACATCTCCAACTTGGTCTTCTTTACATGTGTTAAGCTTGCATGTGAGATGATTATTCAATCACATGTTTTAATTACTTTGTATAAACATCATTCTTTTGTCAAATCACTTCTTTCAATGTATTTTGCTCAAATTATAAATATGTATATTATTATTTGGCTTAATTACAAATTTTATTCATTTTTAGATAATTACAAATTGTTTGCCCGAGATTTTCGAAAGAATTTGATTCGTAGAGTAAATATAATTTCATTATTGATCTTTCTAATTGTTATCTCATCTTATACTCTTTCTCTTGAATTCTTTGATGATCGTGATCGGCACGCTAAAATATATTGACGTGACACACTAATAATTAGGCTAACAAATGATGATTTTGGCACAACATAGCAAAATAAATCGTCGGTCTGTTCGGTAAAATAAGGGTGAACAAACCAAAAGATAAATAGGATAATTGAGCATAATACATTTTAAACTACGATTTTCATCTCATATATCCTCTTTATTTTAGTGCAACACGTGAGAGTGGGGAATCGAACTCACCTACTCTTTGGACCGCTGAACTATACTCACTTTGGTCATCTCATATATTCTTATTTTATTTGATTAGTCTAATCTTGTATATCACTCATTACACATTGGGCTTAATTATCATTTATTAGTTTAGAGTCAAAATTGAAATTTTAATGATGTAGTTAAAAAAAATTAAGTTTTTAGGGTAAATAAACACAACCACATCAACTTTCAAGAAATAAATTAGTGATTTAACTTTTTTTTTAGTTATCATTATTGGTATGTGGGGGGTCAAAAAAGAGAGTTGAAAATTAAAGCTTCATCTCTTTTTCTTTTTGTATGCGGGGAGAATCTTGAAAATAATCTTGGTCCATATATTCAACTGAATTTAGGAACTTCCATGAAAAGAATAAGGACATGCAAAATTTTGTTATTGGGTGGACCTTTTTTTCCAAAAAAAAAAAAAAAAAAAATTAACCCTATTGTCAGAGTGAAGATTTATCGATGAAAATGTCGATGTTTCAATTTTATGAAAATTTCAATAAAATATCGATTCGTTTCAAATATTTAAATTATCAAAATAAGTATTTTGCACATTAGACTCTTCCAGCAATAGGAACTAACGGCATAACTAGGATCATAAATTTTTCAAAAAAAGAAAACAATATATATATTTCACTAATGAGCGACATTATTTAACGAGTTTAATTTTATGAAATTAAAAACTTTTAGATAAGATTTGACTAATCAATTAAACAAACACGAGAAAAAACTCAAACAAAAATCTAAAGCAATATCATCCGTTCAATTAAACACAGATGCAGTGATAAGAACCGATCCAAACTTAAGTAGTATGGTGTATGAACGCGGTATATAACCTTATCAACCTACGAAGAAGTAATGATTTAGAGGTGGGTTTGATAGCTTAATGAAATAGTTAAACGATAGACCAACAAAAATGGCTCATGCGGCAAAGATGGCAGTTGTTGTGGGAGAGCTAGGAAAGATCGTTATGCTAGATCTTCTAACAAAATTTGAAAAAATGAAATGGTCGACCCTTGAAGCTCAACAAATCATGACCCGATAGCTCGATCATATCCCAGTTCATTGAAAGTGCCATGCACCTAGATACAATGTCCGACCTAAGGTAACAGCCTAACTCATCGGCCAACACCCTAATAAAACGGTTATGCGGGCTCCACCACCTGACACCCTAACACAACTCTGACTTCAGGTACACAATCTGGTTCCTCGGTTTGAGACCTAAGATCGACCTCTTAGAGTGTTAGATTGTGTTCGCTTTCTTTGTACTAGTCTTAAGGCAAACTCTGAATACTATATATGATCTCAAAATAACAGGTACCTTATCTTCTCCTATTACGAGCCAGATCGTAATTCACCTTAAACAATGCTGAAGAAGGAGATGAAGGTTTGTGGATAGAGGTTCGCAACTTTATTGGAAGGGATTTACACATAAGATCTTCGTGCAATCTCAAAAATTTAGAATTCTGTTTTTTAAGCTTCTTATATTTGTACCACCATAAAAAATAATAATAATAATAAAGCAATATCAAACCGGGGTTTAATAAAGCCGAATACAACTTTGGTTCATTCTCGTTTTATACTCTCAAATTTCATATTTTGGTCGTTGCAACTTCAACTTTTATTCATTTTAGTTTACGTACTTTCAAAATATTCATTTTAATTCTTAGACCATTTTCTTGTCTCTCTTTGTAAAATTTTAACACAAGTTTTATATACAATAAAAACCTTTTTTGATTTCAAATCTATGGTTACATGTCAAGAACGCTTAAATTTTTATTAAAATAAATGAGATAAAAATGAAAATGAAGAGAACAAAATAGTCGCCTTTTAAAAGTATAGGTACCAAAACGAACATTTCGAAAGTTGATGGACTAAATAGAATTTAAATTTATAAATTTTTAAAAAGAAAATTCTCCTAATTCATGTGACTGGTTTATCATTCCAAATGTTTCAATTCAACCCAAATGTTTTAATTTTTAAAATAAAAGCTCTTCATTAGGAATTTCTACTAAAGCTGCTTTGGCTTGAGCTAAAATTAGAACTTCTAAAATACTAAATTCAAACCAACTAAATTACGGTATAATTTTGTAGGTTTTAGTTCCTTAGAGTATGTATTTGGTTGAATTTGGCTCCTTTTTAACATTTTAAAAGTTTCAACTCAACTCTCAATCATTTAAATTGTATATTAAAACAAAAAAAAAAAAACTTTTCCTTTGTCATTTCTATTGAAATGTCTAATGAAAATTCAATCAAAGTTGTACTAGGTTGATGCAAGATTCTGCGGACCTATCGAAGGTCGGCCACATGTCAACTTCAAACAAACTGGCGAAGTGCGACCTTAAGTAAGAGGTTCTTACAAAAGGAATAACCACTGGGATGCTCAAGTTAGAATAGACGTGAGCGGCTCGTTCTCTTGAAACATAATTGCAGAACAAAGAGGTAGAGTATCTCTTTTATAGATGATGGGGGGCCAAGACTTTCAAAACTGCTCCGACCAGAGGTTATGGATGTCGGGCCCAGGTTGGTTGTTGACCCTGAGGTCGGGGTCCTCAAGTTGGTCGAAGAGTACTTGAGTGATTCTCCGGTTGAGTTCTGGTCTCTAACTCTATTCAGTTTCCACTAATTCACCTTTCTTAACAGAAAAAATTATTCGAATCCTATCAATTTCATATCAAATATATATTTTCTTATTTGTTCCACACACAAACAAACTTATCCTAAGGTAAGATCTTTTATGACAAAAACTTAGGGTAAAAACTGATATTTTTTCCTAAAATTGTTTTTGAATAATTTCATTTAAAAAAAAAAAAGAAAAAAAGCTTTGGAATTGGAACTCCATGTTTACTGAGAATTGGTGTTCCAGTGAGAGAGTCTTTGTTTTCAATCGTATAGACTTTGCTTTCTTCCCCACCACAGTCACAGATGCTGATTCTCACCGATGTAAAGAAGCCGGCTCCGGCGACGACGGCGGTGGCGGCGGCGGTGGCGATCATTTTTATCGCTTCAATTCCGCTGGCTTGGTCAAAGGAGCTACTCGGCCCGAGGGAATGTGAGGATCTAGGCTTCACAGGCCTTGCTCTCTGCTCTGATTGCAACACTTTAGCTGAATATATCAAAGATCAAGGTGACGCGTTTGATTCAGATTCACGCCCCCACGGTTTCTCTATACTCGATTCTTTCTCTGTTTTCGAATTTATGTTTTTGCGAAAATGCGCTATTTCGTCGGTTTCGATTCTGGATTTTTCCTTGATTTGGATTTTGGATTTCCAGATTACTTTGTTGTAGCCTTTTTTTGTGAAGTTTTGGTACTAATTTCAATATCTTAGATCGATTTCGTAGAGATTGTGGATAAGTTTCCTGATGTTCGTTTAGTTCCTATTTTGTTCGAAGATGCGGTAGCAATGAGTTCAGAGACCTATACCTAGTTATGTGATTGGCTGGAAATTTGTTAGGGAAGCAGAAGGTTCCTGAAATTCTGATATAATATTCATCTTTTTTGTCAAAATCTTTGCAAAGAAACAAGGGCTAGAAAAAACCCCTTAATAATTGTAAGCGATAGATCTTCTTACTCTCCTGTAATTTGTAGATTATGTTATTCAAAAATCACGTATCATGTCTTTCTGATAAGTTGTGATTTGAATGCAATTTGTGATTGTTAGTGATAGCTTTTTCGGTGAATAAGTTTGTTCTCAATTCTAGCAATGACTTCTTGTCCACCTTCACTTACCATATATTCTGATTGATTAAAACGATGGAACGGAAAAAGAAACCAGTTTGATTGCAAAGCCAGCATAATGTTAAAGGGCAAAGATCTAAGGGGTGCAGAACTACTCTGAAAAATAATTTTTTTTTTTGTTTTATGGAACAAAAATTATGTAAAGACATCTATAGGTAACCATTTTTTAATAGTTGTTCTCTTGTTTCCTTTTAGTTTGTTTTAGTCTGCATTTATCTTTTCAGTTTAATTGATGATATTCTTTCTCTCTAGCACTGGCTATTCCAGTAACACTGGAATTTGTTTGAAATAGACCAAAATTTAAGGAAGAAAAGATTGGTAATATGCAAAACTCTGCAACTATGTTGTAGGTTTATGTAATGGTTTTGAAGTATGCATAAACTTTGTCTTGCAGAACTAATATCAGACTGTTTGAAGTGTTGCGCGGAGGATTCTGATGATGCCACGAGCAAGGTACAAATAATGATATAGATGTGCTGAATTCTGGAGGCTGAATTTCACCGACTAACTATTCCATTTGTGATTAATCTACCATGCTGCTAAACTGAATCTTGCTCATGCCAACTCTAAACGCATTAGTCTAATGTCTTATATAGTACAAACCATTTAGGCGTGTATGTAATTATCACAACTATGGTCCAAAGTTAGGTTTCAGTAAACAAGGAAAACTAATGTACCTTTACTTTAGAAAAGGTGACAGGACACATTTGGCATGGTGCTAGAACCTTGTTCAAGGATGTCTTTGCTAGGATTGACCCAAATTTCGATTCTCAAGTAGAATTTGGGGCATTCCAAAAACTTGGAGCATTTATCGATGCTTATCACAAACCTGTTGGACATCAATGGCGTGACATGATTGGCTCATTTGATGAGCAAGTGTTATCTATTAATTACACTTATTTTGTAAATTACAATGGTAATTTAAGATTCTTATGTCATAGAGTTTCTGAAGCTTCTTGATCGGTCATCCTTGCTCATTATCAAACAATCACTTATTTGTACACCTCACGTGAGGCTGAGAATTTTCACCTGCTAAAATCCTTTTAGCTCCAATTAGCCCCATCCCCGCTGGAGGTTTCAGTGATAGGTTTCTATAGGAAATGAACAATTCTATTTGGTCAAATATCTAGCAACAAATTCAATCTTCCTTTAATTACAGTATTTTTTAACAAATTCGTGAAGGAAACTAGAGAATTATATAAGGAAGAAAACACAAAAAAGATAAACTCTCAATTTATTTGAGATACTTGAAACCTCCCCTATCTCGAGTCCAATTAATCCTAAATGCCCACAGTATTACCTGCTTTCATCTTCTCCCTTTTACTCTATTTATAACCAAGTCCTACTAATAAACTCCTTAGCTAGTTACTAATATGCCCTTACTATTCTAATAATGTTCCTAAATCCTAACTACTCCAATGACATTTCTAACAATTCCTAGTTCCTAAATTTTGTCCATCATGGTTGTGGCTAGAGAGAAGTGCCTGGTATATATGCAGAATGTAGAATTTTTCCAGTAGATTGAGTTTTGAGTTCCACCCTCCCCCATAATTCAGAACTCTGTTGTTGATTGTATTTCATAAATACTTGATTTTGTCTGTCTTTTCATTTATTTTGACAAAGGACAAAAGGCAATAATCTACATTCGCTAACTGCAGATAACTTATTCTGGTGCTGTACTGGAGGTCTGCATGAGGAAACTAGTTTTCTATCCTGAAATTGTTGGCTTCATTGAAGATGAAAAGGATCAATTCCCTACTGTTAAGGTTCAATATATCTTCAACTCTCCACCGAAGCTGGTCTTGCTGGATGATGAGGGTCAACAGAAAGAAAGCATCAGGTAACCTTTTAAATGACCAAAAATTACTATACTACTCTTGAGATTGCAAATGTTGATCCTTTATTAAGATAAACAAAAGAATAGAAGTAGACGTTACAAAAACGAAAGCCTATACAAAAAAACCGAAACTAGTCTGAAGAAAGACTCTAATTGAATAGGAGATCAGGAGATAGTTACATAATACTTTAGAATCAGGCACCCGAAAGAGACGCGAAATCTACAATCAAGGACACTCGACGCCTCTAAAAATCCACCTATTTCAGACGTAAATTTTACCAAATGACTTATAACATTGTCTCGAAGAATGTTTGGATCCATGATGAATTAGACAGAATTCGTATAGGGCTAAATTTATGTTTTAGTCTCTAATATTTTGGTGTTTTTTCAATTTAGTCCCCTATGGTTTAAAGAAGTCTCAATCTAGTTTCTTACGTTCTAACGTTTTTCAATTTTGTCTCTCACCACCGGTAGATGTTAAAATTTGTTGATGATAAACTTATATGGCATAATACTTAGTGAATTGGTAAATATGGTATAGAGCGATTTTGAACAAATTTTCTTTTTTTTTTTTTCTGGTTGCAGGATTGACAATTGGAAACGTGAACATATATTGCAGTTTCTGCAAGAGAAGGTTAAGCGTTCTTCAGCAATTTAAGGTTTTTCTCTCTTTTTTTTTTTTCCCTTTCTCTGTAGAAAACTTGATGCAGAAGTCGAATGAAACAATTATCAACCAAAAACTTAAAAGGCAAACATTAATTTTGTTCAATTTCAAGGATAGTTGGAAAGATAACTCATTTATTTGTCTCGATTTTTTACTTTTTAGAATTACTTCTAAAACTTTAATCCTTCAAACACAATCAAATGTATATTTTAAATTTTTTAAAGATGAACATGAACTTGAAGAAGGTTTTCTTTTACCGTATAAGTTTAACATTTAAAAAGGTCATCTTATATCATTTTGATGTTTGCGTCTGACATTTTCCACTGCTGTTTACACAATTTGATATCTTAAACATACGATTTTAGTAAACCAATATTGCAATCGATTATCTCGATTCAAATTTGACTTTGGTTAGTTTTGATTAAAAATTGACTCGAATCAATTCATTGTAGAGGTGATAAAAAAAAGGGAAAAAAAGAGGTTGGAATTTTATGTGAATTAATGTGTATTGCTTAACATGAAATAAAAAATAAGTAGACAACACTTTTTAAATTTCATCATCTGAGAGTGAGAAAGTAAAGAGAATCCACTCCATAATATTTCTATTTCTTGTTTTCGTTCCTCTTTTTTAATCAGAAAAATTAGAATTATATTTTAGTAACAATTTTTTATTTCTTGTTCTTTCTTTTTCAACAAAAACACATACTGAAATTCTAGATTAAAAAAAATTAATTTCATATAAAAATTAAATTTTCAAATTAAATATTTAAAATTTTATATTATATTTATTGTGCATGTTATAGAAAGTGATTCAATAATGTTTTGAACAAACAAGAAACAAAAAAGAAACATTACGAATCAGCACTGATATTAGAACAAACTTAAGGCTTGTACAGATCTAATGTAAAAGAGAGAAATTAGACAATGGAACTGCTTCTGTAACACCAATTTGATGCTGGAATGGCGTATTGGTCGACTATCTAAAGTTCAAGAGAGCAAAACTACAGAGCATACAAATTTCCTGCTTCTGAAAAAACTTTGCAGTGAATTAGATGAAGAAAAATATTTGCCCCTTAGACCAGAACTACCGAATCCGAACGACCCGAGAGCCTCATTGTAACTCCAAGACATTCTTCTCAATGTCCGAGGAAGAAGTCTTGACAGGAGCCCAGATGTCTGCACCATTGCAGCTAGCAATTCGGCTAGTCGAGGCGATCGGCACGAGACATAAGCCATTGCTTCCCAAGCTCCACGGCTCAATTTCCTGATAGAGACGGACAGAGCAAGTGGTTAAAATAGAGTCAGGAGAGGCTAACTTTTGGAGTCTAAATAATGAATTTTACTAACCTTACGTTCAAGTCCAGAGATAAAAGACTTTTTGAGCTCATTTCATCCTGCTTTGTTTCATTTCTTGTTTCTCATTTTTCAATTCTTGAGAAATATAAACGTTTGATAACTATTACTATTTTTCATTTCTCATTTCTAAAAAATGTTTCCAAAAATAATTAGAAATTTTAGAAATAACAAAATCAAATTTATTGTTCCTTATTTTCAATTATTTTTCAAAATATAGATAAAAACATTATTTTATAATTTTTTTACTTGTAAAATGCATAATAAATATTGAAAAAAAGTAAATATTTTTGGATATTTAATTTGAAATTTTAATTTCCAGGTAAAATTCTTACTTGTTTTTAATTTAAAATGTTATAGAACAAGATAGAACAAATAATAATAAATTATTACCAAACAAGTTTATATTTCTTTTTTCAGTAAAAAAAATGAGCAAGAAAGGAAAAAATTAACCTGACGCAATTTTGGTTTACAGAGAACATCAACGTTATCGAACCGACCTTTAGTACTCAGAACTTGAACCAAACAAAATTTCTCCCCCCTTAGACAAGATAAATGATAAATTTTTTTTCATCTACAAAACCGACAAATGAAGTAGTGTAGGCAAAAACAAATAGATTAGATGAGAAAAAAGGAAGCTGACTTTTGATAACAATATTCTCCTCATTTACATTGATTTGGTATCCAATAAAAGATGATGCCATTTAGAACCAAAGAATATCCTTAAACTCTTCGAGAGCCAAATTTTGTCAACCTTATGACTTGCAAAAAAGGACACTAGAGATAAAAGGGAAATATTTTTATCAACCTTATGACTCGCAAAAAGGATGAACCAATCATTACAATACCGTCGTAGACAACGAACTGATTTCATTTCTAAAACAAGGAACGTTTTCCCTTACCCCTCGGGGGAAAGATTCTATTGTTTTCGGTTTCGAGGAAAAACAAATGTGCCAATCCTCCACACAGAACCCTCCCCTAGCTATAATATGTAGAAAAGAGAGTTGATGGTAATTCAACCTACATTATACATTAATACATTCTACACTAGCAATCCCACTGCTGAAGAAGAGAGGGAAGGAGAATCTTTATTCAAAGATTTTGATGGGGAAAGTGGTAATTCTTTCCATAGGGGTGAAAAGGAAGATCTCTACACAATATTTGGATTGGTAGGGATTACTCTTACTGAAGTTTAACTTCGAGGTTGAGCTAAACCTTTCGGTCAGGAATAGGATAGAAGTAATTGTTTTCATAAATGTCTAATTTGTCCGACGGTTTAAAACCTTCGGTCAAAGATACCTTTTCTCCGACTGTATCTTAATCGTTGTGCGGAGCTTATATAGCATGACAATTGTCCAAAAACCATCCGGAAGATCCTTCCTCAATGTGTTTTCCCGACTTTTGTCTCGACACAAATATTACATCAGGCAAAGTCCCTCCCAACTGTTTTTGGGTTTCTTCCGACATTTTTTAGCGTCGGGGGAAAGCTTAATTCTTGTAGTGTTTCAAAGATAGTTTGAAGGTGCGCGATTCTTATGTTGTTGGGATCTTTAACGACTTTTCTCAGGGGATTCATCCATCTAAAAACGAGGTAGTGTATATATAGCTTCCTATTTTTGTCCCATACTTGATACAAAAAAATTTATATCCAAAGGTACAATAATACATGTGAGATGGTAGTCATAAGAGAAAATAATGCCTTGTCAAAAAATAATAATATGAACATTAGTGCTATAAATATTGTTAAATATAACCAAGTTTTTGTGCTCACCTGTATTCTGGACATTGGTGTTCTTTCAAGGTATGGAGCAATCAACACCTGAAGAAAACATAAAGCACAAGAAGTTAGGTAATATCTCAGCTGTCTTTACTGAATAGACTCGATGAAAACATACCCAAAAAATAGGCCAACCTTAATTTGTTCATGAAGAAATTGTATGTATTCCATTGCCTCCAGAAGAACAGAAGCTGTGTCTGTCTGCAATAGATTTTTCGGCTTCAGTCTTCATCAGATAGTTCTCTTTTACTTTATGATAGAGCAGAAAATTTTACTTCCATTAAGCAGCATGAAAGTACAGGAAGATGATGAATAAAACGAAGCCCACATCAAGCACATGAGAGAGATTCTAGAAGAACACAAACATATATTGATCCCAACTTACAAATTGATCGTTTACGATAAAAAGAACGAAAATGCCAAAATGTTTGGCAACTCCAATGAATTGATATCCAATTAGATGTGTTAGACTATACAGTACTTCATACCGTGTCCAAAGATTAATATATTTGATGAGAATATCTGTTAAGAACAATGGTATCCTTTTACCCCAAGTATTTCCAGAATATTACTATGATATTACCCGCTTTAGGCATAACCTTCACCATTTACTTGTAGTTACACCCAAAAGACATCGTACCAATGGAGATAGTTGTCCTCTCTTATATACCATAGATCACTCCCTTCCTTTTCCAATACGGAACTTTGTTTGCACTCTTTTGCAAATCCAATAATATCTAAACTCATTTTGAAAGCTGTCATAACTAGCTCTTGTAAAGGGCATAATTATAAGGTTATAAAGGGGAAATAATGCAGAATATAGTTTGAATTAATTTGAAGAATGTTTTCTTGGTCATATGACATGTTTTGGATTTTTTTCTCTGAAAAGTAATGTAATGAATGGAAAACCATTATAATTATACAGAAAATTAAAAGGCCAAATATCAAAAACTGAAAGTGTTGATGCTAAGAACTCTAGTTTTCTTGCCTTGAACTGAATTTAGGCATTGAGATAGATCGTGGCATTAGCATCCATAGATTTAGAATTATGTTTCCTGAAGTCACCAATGTTCTAAGTTTTACAGGTCAGCTTTTCCATGCATACCTTTCCATAAGGTGAAACAAGTTGTTGCAAAGCTACAATTCTTTCGCCCAGCTTCTCCTTCCTATCCTGTAGCCAGAAAAAAAGCATAATAACCTTAGAAACCAAAGTAAAAATTGTGTGCCTTTGAAGATCTTGACCTGGAGTTGTCAGTTTACCCGGTTTATTTGGAGTCAGTTCTTGGAGGTTTTTGGGATTGAGCCAGTAATAGGGATCGTAGGGCAATGTTGGAAGAGGTGTTGTTTACTCCTTTTCAAAATTGAGGGATCCTGCCATGGTAATCTTGTTTTTTCGACGGTATTTGGATCAAGAGGATTAGTAGAATTTTAGGGCAGTTGAGAGGTTTTAGAGAGAAATTTGAGAGCTGGTTAAATTTAATACCTCTATGTGGATATCAGTTTCTAAGATTTTTGGTAATTAATTATCAATTAGGTGTTAACTTTTTTGATAGGGGTCCATTCTTATAGAATGATCCTTTTTTGTCAGACTTATTCTTAATGGCCCTTGTATGAAATGAAAGCTTGATTTCTCATTTTTTGAGATTAAAATATACTGAACAATTTTGCTCTTGACTACAAGCCTATGAGAGTGAACTTTTCCCAGTAACAAATTCTGTGAAAAAGAAACCAATACCCAATCTAGTTTGGAAAAGCTCCGTGCTTATGAATATTGAAAGAACAATTACAATAGGTGCAACATAATCAGAACTCACTGATATTGTTATGTAATGTTAAGACTGTTTAATTTTCATTGATGTGAACTACTGAATAGTTAATCAAACAATATGTTCATGATAGACATTATATAGTGCCTAAATTCCCAAATTTTATGGAAAAATGCATGCAGCTTGAATGTTTTGCAAAGATGAAAGAAGTGGTTTTGAAGATATATGGGATAGAGTCATTCTTTATAGGCATAGCTTCCTTACGATCTTCAAAAAAAAAAACTTGAGAATTTTGCAATTATTATATACCTTACATCACAACAAGAAGAATTTTCTTTCAATTTTCGTCGAAATGCTAATATGGATAAGAACATTCAGATTGCCATCATATAAAAGGACAGGCTAGGATAAGAAGAAACCTTAGCTGAAATAGAAAATTGAGCCTTGTGCCTTTTGCTAGCGAGAGAAATGAGGTAGCCTTCATCAACGGAGCAAGGGCTTCTTTTCTGTTCCATTCCTCTTTCTTATCTTTGTCACCTACCCCTTGAAGAGAAGCTAAAGCTAATGAATATGCAAATGATTCATGGAAAAGAGGCACTGGGATCAAGATGAGAAACTTACAAAATTAAAGGATATAACTTGTATTTGAGTATGAAATGCATCTCCCCTAGAATACTAATACAGTAAGAAATTCATAATAGAAAAGCACAACTTATGCTACATCAAGACGCCTACCTAAAGAAAGGGGCTTCAAATAACTCCCATCCCTAGATCTCTCCACCCCTAAAAATCCTACCACAAAAATCTTCCCTTTTCCCAAAAAGAAGAAACGATAGAACCTCCTCCATCAAAGTCCAACATACATGGTCGTTATGTTAGTTGTACGGTAGGAAACATCTTGGAGGTGATTTACACGAGACATTTTTTCAACATTTTCACAAGGTCGTTTTATCAAGAATTATAATAATCAATCAGATATTTATCAACAGTGTTAATAGTAATCACTTATGAAACAGTATATATGTCCCTAGTCCTACGAAGAACAATTGYTCTTATGAAGCCAACCTAAGCTTGACATGTTATGCCACCTATCTCCGACTCAAATGTCGCGAATTCAAATCCCCGCCGTATTGTTGTATTTAAAAAAAAAGAAAATAATGAAAGAAAATAAAAAGACAATTGTTCTTATGAAAACAATATCAAGAATGGTCTTCACTCTGCTCTCCTAAAGGCTAGATTTGATAATATAAAATGATTTTGTTCTCACGGCCAAAAAACCATGAAACATAAAACAATGAGATATGCCCCTAGATCATTCTTCCAAAAATAGACTTCCATTGAACGTTTAACTTAAACCAAAAATAAAAAAGAAAATTATCACCCTCAGATTTTTAAATTTAAACAATTTTTTTGTTAAATATTTTTAGGACAAAATAAAATCATTTCCTTTGGTTAGTTGATGCGATCTTTTTGTAATTTTATTAGCTTTGATCAACCTAGATTGTGGTTTGTTTCGATTAACTTGCTTAAATTGTGGGAGGGGTTTCCTCTTCCCCTAGCTTTAGGTTGTTTTCTCCTTCTAGTTGAATTAATTTTTTTTAATAATCCCAAATAAGAATTTTGCTCTCTTATATCAGGGTCATCATCCCTGTCCAGCCCACGAGATATCAAGAATTTTTCTTGTTAAACTCCCAGAAAGTTCAAACATGCAACCTCTAAGTAAGTGTTACTCAAAGATTGCATGCCCATGCCTGGCGAATGGGGCCATCCCTTGGGAGGTTAGGTTGAATGAAGTTTTTGTTTCTTACTTAAAAAAATTGCAGAGTCTTTTACCACTACTAAAAGTTTTCTAACACAAATAAACAGCTGCGATCCACACGTGTGGCAAATCCCCAGAAAATCTGACAATCCCAGAAGCTTTCAAAAAAAAAACAAACAAAACAACTTTACAAACAATTTGTGTGGTCAGATCATTATAATATGTCTTGCACTGTTATCCTCAAGGTTAGGTTTCCAAGTAGACACCAAAACTTATATTATAATATGGCACTAATTAAACTAATTATTTCTATCAGTCACCACTCACCAACTGCAATGCTAATTAAAATATTGTTGACCAAATTACATTTTCATAAGCTGATGATCACTATAGCCACCAAAAATCAATGCTAAATACAAAATAAACAAGGTCAATTAATTCAAATATTGTCTTCCAACTTGAACTGTATATTTTATATTTCATTTGCTTAAATCTCTCTTTACATAATTATAACCAAGTAAAATGCCACAAATGACCTTAACAAACAACACCAATCTAATCTACCTTCTAAAAGTAAAAGGGCAAAAACTGAAGCTATACTGAATCATTAAAACAAAAGTTGGTAGCAAGTAGCATCACCCTACATAAAAAGTAAAAATAAAAATAAAAAATAGTGTGCTGTATTTAATTAACAATTAGACCATATCATTAATTACCAAATAATGATTTGTAAAATTACAATTATTTTATTTTTAATTTTCTATTTTTTAAAACACCAGTTCCATTTTCTTGGTTTAGTTATCTAATTGTCAAAATCGTTTTCAAAATTTAAGAACCAAATTTTAGAAACTAACCATGGTAGTTTTTGAAGAGTTACTTCTATGTCTTAAATTTAGGGAAAAAAAATCAAATGTGTTCTTTTAGGAAATATGGAAAACAAAATTTTGGAGAAGCAAGCATAATTTTTAAAACCATAAATTTAAAAATAAAAAAATGAGGCCTAAGTAATTAATGTAATTAATTAAAGCTGGTGGACCTCGATTTACTTGACAGCATGCATGAACTAGGGTAGAGCAGATCCAAACTTGTATAGAAAATCCTCCAACCAAATTTTATTTATTGTCAAAGAATATCACTATCAATGCCAGACGTGAAGATGACATTTCACTGATGACACGTCATCTTCAACCGAAGTTTATTATTTAATATTAGCAAAAACAACTCCAAAAATTAGTTTAAAATTTAGTCCGTAAATTATTCTGCATCACAGTCCACACAATCCAGAGATCACAAGGCACACTCAAACTTAGCATACATACGCCTCAAAATAAGAATAAGAACAGAATAAGCAACCAAGAAATTTTTTCAAAAATAAATAATAAGCAGGCAAGAAAACATATATATGGAATACATTTACTTGTTTTTGTTGTAAGATTTTCAATTTTTTTTTAGAAATCCTGCGCAGAATCTTCCTCTCTTTCCAGTTAAATTTTGAAGTGTCTATAAAATACAGTGAACATAATATTTTATGACTCAGTAGAAAGATGAATAGAAACTTTGACGAGTTTTTATTTTTTTATTTTTTTAAATATATCAAGAGTCACTCAAGACTTAATACAAGGATGAATGGAAACTTTGACGCTAAAATAGATTAAAATACTTTTTGGTCTCGTAGTTTCAGTTTGGATTAATTTTGGTCCTATACTTTAAAAAAAAAATGTTCATTTTGGTCTCCGATGACTCACCATTAAATAGATAAGAGATTTTATATTCAAGAGACTAAAGTAAACAGGTTCAGGTATCAAAATGAACACAGAGACCAAATAATGGATAGACCAAAAAGTATTTTAACCTATTTAATATATATAAATTTCAGTATATTCACAAAATTGAACGAAAACGAATAGAGTTGGGAAATAGCAATCGAAGTTTGAAACAGAGTTCGCATAGAAACGATGAAAGCAAGCAATGTCCTGTTGATTTCTATACACAAAATTTAAGAATCGAAGAAAGGAACTGTAAGGCTCACCAGAAGTGTGGAGGTCGCCTTCATCTGAAACAGTTTCCGGAGGCAAAATCTTCGCAATCAATCCTTCTTGTATCAACGAACAAGTCCTTCTTTTCCGCTATCGATGGCCTCTGATCTCTCTGTGAAGGAATAAAAGTTACTGAAACCCTCGAGGTTTCAGAAATTGAAGCCGGAAATACGAATCGGAAACTGGAAGCGCAGACGACGGTGGCTGTAAAATCAACATCCGACTTGAGAATCAAAATTGGAAGAAAAGGCCGGAGAAATGGAGAGCGGGAAATCGAAGTGTTAGAGAGAGAGGAAAGGATTTGAAGGTATTTATAGGGCTCATTCATTCGTTCTCAAGAACACCATTTGACAGCTAATATTAGATATTTGTTATTTTTCCAAATTTTGTGATTAAAAATATTGTTTTCTTTTTTTCCCTTTTTTCGAGACACGTAAATCTATAATTACATTTTAGTACAAGTATAAATGGAGTAAAGAGATTCGAACTCATGATCTTATGATTAGAGATAGATGTCAATCACTGTCGAATCAAGTTCATATTTATTTTGTATCGAAATTGTTACATAAATGATTTGACACGAAGTGCTCATTAAAGGATTTGACAAAAAGTTACATAAGAAAGTAGGTAATCTAAATAAAATCCGGGTCACCAAGAAAATTTCGATCCAGTACAACGAATTCTATCCATCCACCCTATCAAATTTTCTGGTCCATCTAACTTATTTTATTTATTATTATTATTTTTTAATGTTAGCTCATACCGAACTATATCACATGAACATTTATAGGTCAATTATTGCTCATCTACTGCTTATTATTTTTATTTATAATTAATTTTTTTTAACACAATGCAAAGGACAATAAAAGACAGTTTTGAGTTTTAAATTTCTGACGATGGGTTAACATTTCTATTGTGATTTCTACATTAAGTTCGACATCGACACAAATAATGAAATTTATTCAACATCGACAAGAAGAATGAATTGACATTTCTATTATATTATAAAAAAGATGTAAAAAAAATACCACTGATATAGACAAAATATCGATTATGATAAAATGTGTATAGATTAATTTAAATATATTTGATAATTTTTTTAATTTTTGTAAATATTTTTGTCGATATTTTCGGAAAATTGAGACTGTTGATTTGATAGGACACGTGGCAAGAAAGGGTTATTGTGATAAATTTGGTTCGTCTCCCTATATAAACCCGTGGGACGTGGGTCCCATCCTATTTGCTGACGTTTATTATTATTTTATTCTGAGATGTAACTATCGATAATCCACCATCCACTTGGAGATCCGGACACGTGGGACAATCGTGCGGCCTGTATAGTTCCTGTGTATGGCGGTAGCAAAAAGTCAACAAAAGTCCTCGCGTGGGACCCACGCGGTTTCTCCTTTGGCGGGAGGGGACAGAGTATATATGTCATCGACAATGACATAATTTCTGAATGCCACGTCACCTTTTTTTACCAACCCCAAGAAAAAAACAAAAGAAAAAGAAAAAACCTCACATCGAATTATAATCATTTTAATTTTCTACTCAAATTTCGAGTTTTCTATTTCGATGATATTTTTTCTTTTAAATTTTCCCTAATTCACTTAAATTTATATAATGTAATGTAGGTGGTCAATCAGGTAGAGAAGGAATTCTCTTYGGAATTCGACGGTTAGATTAACCTTCCTTTCTAATAGGAACATTTTTAAGACGTCAAGCAATCTATCATAGGTATGATAGATCGTTTTGTACTCTTCACGTACCTATCGATGTCTCATCTCTTCACTTCACTCATGTATTAATGTGAAAAAAAGGAAAGAAGAAGAGTGAAAGACGTATCCGAAAGAAAGGAACAAAGCTGCTTTATCGAAGTTACAATGAGAAGAAACATCATCTGTCAATTTTAAGATTACTAACAACGAGGGACTAGTGGCTACAACTAAAAAATGTTAAAGCACGAGGGATTAAATTGAAAGACACTTAAATATCAAGAGCTAAAATATATATTTAACCTTTAAAATAATTAGTATTTTATTTTTATTGGTAGAAGACATATATATCTTAACCCATCACTACAATAATTTTTAAATTTGGCAACGAAACGAATCGTCGTCAAAGGTCAAAAAACGTTGGGAAAAGGTTTATCAACAAAGTTTTTTCGTCGCCATCATCGTCATGAAATGTATATTTGACGATGAAATTCGAATTTTATTATTGGTAAAAAAATTATATATTTTATTAGTGCGTTATTTGACGCAATGTATTTGAAATTTAAAAGAATAAAAATCTCTCCCATTACAGCATTATAAAAAGAAATATTCACTTTAGGGGGCGTTTGGCACACGGGTCAGCATCAATCACTTGGGTTTGCTTTACTAAGCCTAACGGGTTGATGTTGAGATGTTGTGTAGCTTCGTTTTGGGTAGCCTATGTCTAGGGAGGGCTGGATAACATGGATTTGGGTAATATGATTTTTTTACGCGTTTTTTTCTGGCGAAATATTCAACCCTTTATTTAAACTAATTAAATTTGTAAACAGTTTTGTACGAATTAATCCACATTTTGAATTTGAATTTCTTAATTTATATATTTTATAACCATAATTTTCTTTATTTTTTATTCATAGATCCAAACACAAATTAAATTTTAAACTCAATCAAACTGTTGATAATAATTTAGAGCACAATTTAACATTGATATCATGGTTTTAAGAGTCATTGGGACAGATAAAGTAGTTTACCTATATCAAAAGTAAATTTCACCAAACTATTTTTAAAATTTTTTTCAATCAAACTTGAAAATGTACGTATTTTTAATTATTTACTTTAAAATTTTGAAAACATAAAGCATACTGTAAGCTTTTCTTTCAATATTAGTTGTCTCCTAGTATAATAGTTTTGTTAAGTTGCATATTATTAAAAATCAAATAATATCATTTACTTTTTATAATTTTGAACATAGCTAATTTTAAAATTGATTATTCTTTTGTAAAAGAATTGGTTTAAATAAAACGTTGTAAATGAACGAGACGTTTTTTAAAATAAGAGCGAAACAAAAAACAAAAAACAAAGAAAAATAAAACAAATAATGGAAATAATAAAAATGGTATGTAATCAATGGAGTTGAATAGTATCAAACTAGGGTTTCCAAATCCATGACCAAATGACCCCTTAGAAGTTTGGGTTTAGTCATGTTAGCAATATAATGATAAAATATATAATTTATTTTTCATATTAGCATTATAAATGAATAATAAAAACGTTCAATCAACACTAAATTTTTAATTAGCTATATTATGTCAGTCTATTAATAACGTTTTCTATATTTTGTCCAAAATATACGATTTGCTCATCATATTGATATCGAATCTATTGGCAAAAATTAATATGTAAAGTATCATGTACGCTAAATTAATTAACTAATTTTTCCAGTTGGTTAACATCTGCTCTTGGATAGTATATATACTACAATATAATAACTTAGATATGTTGTACTAATATATATATATATATATATATATATATATATAATAACTTGATATAATGTAACAAAAATGAACAGATCAACTAGATAAAATAAACATACGAGAGAAAAAAAATTGACGAATAATAGAAAGAAAATATTTTGTATGTACATAGCATTAAATTATCTCTATTGAACATGTCATTGAAGACGTTAGAATCAAAGTTAAAAGTTGAAGAGTCTAATTCTAAATAGGTATCATTTTCGGAAATAAACTTATAATCTAAATTTATATGATTTGAAATGTTATGACTGTGTGCTTTGGATTTAATTCATTTTGATTTTGATTCTAATTCGTGTATTTTCTACTTCTGTTCATTAGTATTCTCAATTTTGTTAATTTATATTGATCCTTGTACTTTTCACTTTTGTTCATTTTAGTTCTCGTGATTTCAAAGTGTTTATCTGATCCCTGTGCATTTAAAAAGTGACTATTTTAGTCGCTTTATTTTTATTTTTATCTCATTTTTTCGATCATAATTTTAACACTACACTTTCTTCATGAAATTTCTTGAAATTGAACCATAAACTTGGATTAAAAAATTCTTATTGCGTATAGAATTTGTATTAAAAATTTATAAATAAAGACTAAATATATTACTTTCTAAAAGTAAAAGGACTAAAACGAACATTTTGAGAGTACACAAACTAAAAGGAAAAGTTAAAGGTGCATGACCAAAACGAACGTGCAGGTGCGACCATGGAACCATTCTTATGGACATAAAAATTCTTCTAGTGATTTCTTTTTTAATCGTCTAAGATTTCAAAAGTAAACAATTAAGCCTACAAATAATAGGGTATAAATAGTTTTCATAAGTTTGACATTTAAAAATAAAAGACCAAAAACAAAATTAAGGTCATTTTTTGGGGACAATTTACAACTTGACCAACTTTTTTTATCCATCTAAAGCTCTCTTGAAGAACACTATGCCTACTTGAAAACTAATAATAGAAAAAACTAATAACTTAGAAGAACAAAGGCTCTTACCTCATGGCCACAAGCAGCAGGATTGTAAAACTCGAGATGACAAAATTGGTACAACCCCACAGTTTTAGCTTTTAAACCGGATACTCCGACTGATTCCTGGGTTAATTCCCGTCGTCTCTCCACCATAAGAATGAATTGGTTGCTTAACTTCCCGGACCTGACCTTTGCGACGATTTGCTGCATCTTTAAACTTCAACTGCACAACAAAAATATGGATAGAGATGTAAGTAGACAGTTTAATCATAGAGGCTGAAATGTGTAGATGATTTGCATATATTGTTAAGTACCTTGTATTTCTTTCTCGGGTTCTTCGTCAACTTCTTTCGACGTCGAGTGAGGCCTCGATTCTTCTCCATCTGAACATGTCGGCCATGAGAATGTTAACGACTCAGCGTTTGACAGCTAAATCAAGAAGGTAAAAAGCAGGTAGGCAGAGAACTTACTTGATAACTGATCTTGCGTTTTCCGTCCACGGTTTCGGGAGACAATGGAGTTTCCAAGGTCCTGTAGAAGTTGTTTGTTAGACAAAAGTCATACAATAACATATTAGATATAAAATAGAAGGTTAAAGACTTTATATTGGTTGCAAAAAAACAGCCTCGAATTCAGTTTGTGTAATAGAACAGAAAGAAACTCTCCCAAAACCTCCTTTTGATGATATCCCCCATACGAGACACCCGTTTAATTTTTCTTTCAATTCTGTTTTGTATGACTGATTAAAGCTTCCCAAACATCCCGTCATAAATAAGGAGCGACAAAATTTAAGCATACCAAATTATACGTGGTTACACTCGAAAATGAGTCACAAAAATACTACAATAGACACATTAGCTTACACTCTAAAAGAGTATTAGTCAGAGTTAGGTTGTCAAAACAAAAATCACATCATGAAACTTATTTTAAAAATCTATAAACAAAAAACTTGCCGCAATAGATTTCGATTACCCTTCATAAATGACAAGGGCAACTTGTAAACTTTAAGGCAACATGAAGACGATAATGAAAACTTTTGAAGTATAGGACCTTTTTTTTACCTGGAATCCGTGTGTCTCGGCCATTGCATGCCCCTTGATTATTCTCATGGGATAACCTTTTGACACAACTACTTTGGTTGCCAAGAATACTCTTAGAATATCAAATCCTAGATAGGTGGTCATGATTTAAACTCATTTCATCTAAAGCCTTGTACTATTTTTACATTGTCCCTTATTGACCACTAATTTCCTGAAATCTGCGAGTGTCTAGACCATTGCACACACCTTGGCTATTCTCATGGGATAACACTCTAATCCAACTATATTTGATTGCTAAGACAAGACCACATTTTAGGATATTCATTCCTAGACAGGTGGCCACCATTATTTTTATGTTTTTATTTTCATATGAGAGACACCCAAATAATTTAAAGAGAAAAAGAAGACACCAAGACTTTTTGGCTCATAACTCAAATTATCAATGGAACGCCGACTAAACAATGGTTTATAAAAGAAATTGACACGATATCAGGGATAACTATAGACGAGACAATCTGTAGAAGTTGACCTTATTCTTAGGGTTCTGAATGTTTCTCCCCACCAGAGAGAAGAAAATAAACCAAGTCTCAACATAACTAGTAAATTTGTGACATCAAAAAGTAGTGGTAGGAACATACCTGGAGTAAATTTCAGATTTGGCAGCAAGTTTTGCAGCTCGTTGTTGTTTCACTTGTTTGTAGAAATCATCTTCCGAGTCTATAACTTCATCATTTCCTTTCACATCACCATCACTGTCACCATCACTGTCACCCTCAAGAGCACTCGAGTCATTCTTTGACTTGGTTCCAGCTCTCGCCAACATTTGAAGTTCATATCTCCTCCGCCTTTCTCCAATATCATCTCTTGTAGGCAAATCATCATCACCAGAAACAACCTTCAGGGGAAGGAAAGGAGTGAAAACCAAAACCAGCATTAAATACCATTAGGCACAAAAGTTTTAAATACAAGGCATCGTAATTTAGTAACAAATCTTCATAACCCCGCAAAAGAATTCTGCTTCCATCCTGGATCATATTCCAATGCTTGCAGATGAACATCAACACCTCTTTTGGGTGTCCAAAACCAAAGTTCTGCAATTATCCTTTGTTTCTTATGCTTAATAGACCCAGTCCTTTTATTTAGTTTTATTTGGCTTCTTCCTCTGTTTTGTCTCGGCTCCTCTTGGTTAGGCCAACTCTTTTTTTACTTGGCTGTTCTAATCAAATTCCAAATCTTAGTGAAACTCGAACTATATTTCATGCAAGTTCAAGAAACAACCGAACTCCCTTGTACCTAATAATCTAGGGGAAATGAAATGGCTAAGTTTAAATACGGTTCGAACCTTGGGCTTCTTTAGTTTTGCAGCAACAAGCCGTGAGAGATCAGCTGTACTGGCAGAATTATCTTGGCCCTTATTCCTTTTAGCAGCCTGAGCATCTGAAGTATCATCATTAAAATCGGCATACGCTTCAAGCTTCCTATGTGGACGAAACAGGAAAAAATAGTTGTCAAAATACAAGAGAATAATAGGAGGCTGCAATAAGAAAAACAAAGCAATACCGATTAATTGGTTGAAGATGCTTCTTGGTTCCATTTTGCTTTGGTTCAATTAGAGTGAAGTCCTTCTGTTTTAGCTTTTCTTCAAGTAGGGCTCTTACTTTTAACATTTCCATGCTCTGGACACCCATTGGATCGCCCTGCCAAATGTTTTAAGATTAAGAGGGAAAATAAAATAAAATAAAACAAACCCAAATAAATAAAAAAAGGATGATAAGGGCAATAAAGATCCTAATGAAAATTTTAATCAACTTATTTAGCAGTGCACAATTACCATTTGTTTGTGCTTTCCTTCTTTCTTCCCTTTATGCTTCAATTTATCCACATTCTCCGACCACGCATTTGCATTGGGCTGCACATAGAATAAAACCTTAAAAGTCAATAACTTCAAAACTAGTTACATTTTATGTCTAACATTAGACAATACTCATCATTTTTTTTTTATTATTATAACTGGAAATCGAAACTTTGTTCTCCTATACCTGGGGAATCCGCACCTACCCCAAGATCCATATCCAAAAAACATCAAGAGTTTTTTGTATTAAACTAACCCGAAGATTCGAACTTGAGACCTCTAAGCCAGTAAGACCAATAGACCTCAAGCCCTTGCCAACGGAGCCGCTTGAGGCACAATTGACGCAATCTTGCACAAGAGTTTCTTGAAGAAATTTTAGAATAGTCTTTATTAAAGAGATCAGCCCTATTTATAGAGGCTGCCTACTAACTAACACACGGAAAAACAAGTTACTGTAAAGTAACTCAGCAACTAACTAAACTGTTATAATAAAAGCTACAACTTATCTTAGGAAAGGCTTACATGGCAACTTATTACTACATCAACAATACTTATCATTATTATGTCACAAAATCAAAAGGTTACATTAGAATTTGTAAGATTAATTTTCAGAATGAAAAAATTATGATAAAGATAAATGTAGGATAATCATTATTCAAATGTGTGTCTCATTGCCAAACATATGATAAATTTTAAATCTCAAAATGCTTTCTAAGACATGCCAATTATATTACAATGAAAACAAAACTTGCTGACTTAGAATGGTACAATATTTCTTAAGTATTTTGTGAGGTATCTTCCTCACTATTTTTGATATTCAAAAGACGAAATGTCCAAAGGCTTACACGACCAGCCAATTCGAGAGGGCTGGGATCTCTCCTATAGCCAAGCGCTATTACTTACACCAAAAAAGCAAAAAGCTCCCCTCCCTAATCCCGAGGGTCCCCAACCATACTTTCCATTACCCCCCCTCCCGTACTACCCTACAACTTCCTCCTCAATTTCCCTTCCTACCCCTCCTTGCATAAGTACAAACAATTGAAGGTGTAACATATTTTCCCTCCGGAAAAGTGACAAACAGGATTAATCTCATCATGTAGAAATAATATATGCAGATTGGGATAAATAGTCTTGCATATATGACCAAAAAAAAAAACTTCTTAAAATATGTACATACATAATATCCTAGTGCAAAATCAAAATAATACCAATCCCACTTCTTGGCTGTCAGAAGAGTGAAGAGAAGATCCCTGATCTCTTGTGAGCGACTCAGCTAAAACAGGAGCATTCTCTTTGTCCAACTTTCCATCTGTTTCTTCCTGGTGATATTTGTTAATGATCTCTTCCAATTCAGATGGAAGATTCTCATCAAGTTGTTTCACCTGTGGGGTGCAGAACAATTTCATACTTGTAACGTGGAAGGGTGACAATAAAATGCAGACAATGTATAGACCTAATGACAGCATTGCATGCTTCCGTGCAGAAACAAAGGAAGAAAATATGAGCCACTTGCTTTGCTTGATAAACATATTTTTCATATATTTCTATAATAACAGGCTTCTCAGAGAGAAAGGACGAAGGAAAAAGAAATAATAAGAGGCCAAGGAAATCAACCCATCAAGCAAAGGAACTAACAAAAAATTCTTCGAAAGGCGTGTGATAAAAGTGCTTAAGAGAGAAGCACACACACACAAGACCACAACAACGCTTAAAGAAAAAGTTCTTCACCTAATTTCATTGCAAAGATAGGAAAGAAGGACGTCACACTTGTAACCACAAATGATAAAATGTAAGTGGGACCAAACCTCGTTAGAAAATTACAAGTTTCTAAAAGAATAGGAAAACATTTTGTAGTCACCCTTGGGAGCTTATTAACTCAAGTTTTGAAATGTGAACATGCATTTCAAGAAGTCAAACTAACGACCTATAATGTCATTCAAGAGACTTCCATTAAGGGATAAATCAGCAATCACCCTATTAAACCTTGTCATGCTTTTAGCACTCAGACTTGCTATAGAACTTCCAAAGGGCCAATGAGTAATATTGAAGCCAAGTCCCACAACATAAACCAAACAAGTCATCTAGCTCTCTCCAAGACTTACTTCTCTAATGGTAGACCCCCCGCCACAACCCCACAACAGACAATTACAGTTAACACACCTCATCCAATTGAGAAGAGGAAAGAGAAGAACAAGATAGGACTTAGAAACTAAAATTCATTCAAATTAAAAGATAGAAACGGAATATAAACTGAAGAATATTCAAAAGACTTTCCTGAATCTCCCACCAGCACGTCACTATTGACAAGTACAGACAGAAAAAATAGTCTATG